TAATCATGTTTTTTTGATTAACTGTTTTAACTTTGCACGATTTTATATTCTGAATGTTGTGTAATTGGCTTACTGTGCTCAGATCAGCCAATAAACACGTACCAGTTCAATTTGAATGGACCAGTAGGTGGAAGCTCTACACCTGGAAGACAAGAGAAAAAGAACAGCAGCAGTGCCACTTATCATGGCATGTAACAGTGAATGATAGTTTTCGTATATGACTGTAACCATGCAGATGCTATTATTAACCCTCCACAATGTACAATATGAGGTTAAAAAAAAAAGAAAGAGCAAAGCACAACACTTCATTTTTGTTATACAGCATTTTTAATGTAGCTTACCATAAGTAGTGGGCATATCAACTGAAAATATAATATTGTATTAAGTCCTTACATTTACTGTATCTTTTCAACTCAGACCATAAGCTCTACAATATTTTCCACTTTGTTTGTTTTCTTCTATGTTAGTTTAACCTGTGTCTCCTGACTCTTCAAACGTGTCTTCCTTACACGCAGCCAAGATTTTGGCCATAGACTGTATAAGACATGGATGTAGGTAGCATGATCACTCACTGGTTTCTCAAGGCTCCGTTTGAAGCCTGGAGATGAGCGTTTCCACAGTCGCCATCTTGGTTGCAAAAAGCAGACATGATCAGTGTCGCCTCAAGAATTATTTCTTTTCTTTTTTTTCCTCTTTATTTATAAAGTTTTGCACATGTAATTTGACATATCAGGTCCAATGCAGCAAGTACCAACCGATATAAAGACATATATCAAAACAAATTATGCCTTTAAAATTCGGATGATAACAATAAAACAGAAAAAAGAAAAAAGGAAGAAAAAAAAACAACAACAACCCACGCACAGAAAACAACAAAAAACAAACAAACAAAAAAAATTTATTTAAAAAATCAACTCCCTCCCAAAACCATAACAAAAGGGAACCCTGTGGTACAAAAGTTCAGTCTGTTGTAAGTGTTTTCAATGAATTAAAGTAAATGATAAAAGGCTGCCACATCTGTGAGAACTTATTAACATTTCCTCTGAGTCTAAATTTTATTTTCTCCATTTTTAAAAAGAACATAACATCTTCCAGCCAAAGTGATCGGGCTGGAGGGTGAGAAGCTTTCCAAGACAGCAAAATGCGACGCCGTGCCAGCAGTGAAAAAGCGATAATATCCAGTTGCTTATGACTAAGGTTCAGGGTGGCGTCCTCAGAAACACCAAAAATGGCAACTAGTGGACATGGTTTGAGAGTAATGCTCAAAACATGAGAGAGCACTTCAGAGTAAAAAGTCCAGTATAATTGAAGTGACGGGCAGGCAAAAAACATATGAGTTAAATCACAGGGGGAGGTGTTGCATCTGTTGCACAGGTCAGGAATGCTGGGGTATATTTTAGATAATCTAGATGTTGAGAAGTGTAATTTGTATACCGTCTTAAACTGAATAAGGGACAGTCTTGCACATGAGGCTGAAGAATGAATTCTGTCAATTACTTTGTCCCAGTAACCTTCAACAAACTGAAGACCCAGTTCCTGTTCCCAACTCGAGGCAATTTTCTTGGTTGAGTAATTGCCCGATGCCATAATTAAAGTATATATTTGTGATATTAGAGCCTTACTGTGAGGCTTCAACTGGAATAAGTCTTCCCACCAAGGCTTGAGAGGCTGATTTGGAAACTCTGGCAAGATAGAAGATGCACAGTGTCTTATTTGAAAGTAGCAGAACAAATGATACAAGGGCAAATCATACAAAGAACAAAGGTCACTAAAGCTGAGAAAAATGTTATCTTTGAAGAAGTCATAAAAACATTCGATACCTTTTCTTGCCCATATACGGAAGGAGGAGTCCACCAGGGACGGGGGGAAGAGGTGGTTTTTGCAGATTGGGGTCAGAGCAGAAGCAGAGACAGAATTGACGTGACGCCGGAATTGATACCATATTTTTAGAGAGCCAATTAGAACAGGGGTTGTCTGTGAATCGTAACAGGGAAACGGGAAGGGATGAAAATAATAGTGCTGGGAGTGAGGAAGAGAAACATGATTGAGCCTCAAGGCAACACCAAGACGCCTGAGGATCAGGCAGCCAATAGGTATACTTCTGAATGTTGGCTGCCCAATAATAAAACATCAAGTTGGGCAGAGCAAGACCCCCACTGAGCTTACCCTGTTGTAGTGAGGACATACTAATCCTGGGGGTCTTATTTGCCCATATAAATGATGAAATCATTTGATTCACAGATTTGAAAAAGGACTTAGGTAGAAACAATGGGATACACTGAAAAAGATAGAGGAATTTAGGTAGGATATTCATTTTTATAATATTAATCCTGCCAAGAAGTGATACAGGAAGATTTGCCCACCTTTGAAAAGCCAACCTTACATAGGTCAGCAAAGGGTTAAGATTTGCTATTCGCAAAGCTTTAAATGAACTGGTAATATGCACTCCTAGATATCTAAAACCTGAAGAAGCTAAATGGAAATTAAAATCTGTCTGTCTAAGCTCTTTTACAACTGGGTTTATAAGAAAACATTCACTTTTTTGTATATTAATCTTATACCCAGAGAAAGAGCCAAAACTCAGAAGTATTTTCATTATAGAGGAAATACTTGAATTGTTGGATTTGTAACATATAGTAATAAGTCATCTGCATACAGAGCAACCCTATATTCCGTACCACCACGAATAACCCCTTGAAACAGAGGCGACGTTCTGAGAGTCACAGAGATAGGCTCTATTGCTAAAGTGAAAAGTAAAGGTGAGAGTGGGCAACCTTGACGTGTACCACGTGATAGAGTAAAATACTCAGAATTCACATCATTAGTACAAACAGATGCCAGTGGCGTAGTATATAAAAGATGAATCCAAGATATAAAACTGTCACCAAAACCAAATTTCCTCAAGACTGCAAAAAGATACCCCCATTCCACTCGATCGAATGCTTTTTCAGCATCCAGTGAGATCACCACCTCAGGGACAGTGCTATGATTTTTGGAGTATATTATATTAAGAAGGGACCGTATATTAAATAAGGAATGTCTTCCTTTAATAAAGCCTGTCTGTTCGTCTGATATAATAGAAGGGAGAAATCTTTCCAAACGGGTTGCTAGCAGTTTGGATAAGATTTTAAAGTCTACATTAAGAAGGCTTATTGGTCGATAGGAGCCACAACAGGTAGGATCCTTTCCTTCTTTATGCAGTAATGAGACCGAAGCCTGTCTTAGTGTCTGAGGGAGAGAATTATTTAAGAATTATTTCTTAGGGGTTCCCATATGGGGGGGCACTAAAATATTGGGGTGGCACACCAAAAACAGAATTTCGTGTTTTATTATGCAGTTGTCAGATATAGGTTTCTTAAAAAATATGGAAAAGAGAGAGACAAAGGAATTATAAGCCTAGTTAATTTCCTGCTATTAAAGTAGATAATGGATAGATATGAAAACCAAATAAGATTTTGAAGCAGTAATAACTAACAAGTTCATGTTTCAACTCATTGTAGGGTGTCTTCTTCTCTTGTGTTAATGTTTATTAGAGTTATTACCAACCACTCGAGGTTGGTAATAACTGTTATTGACATGTGGTGGTTTTCAGATAGAATGCAGGTTTTTAGGCACTTATGCATTGGCTTAATTTTTTCAACCCAGAAGCTACATCCATGTTTAATGTTGCCTTACAAAAATGGCTGTTGGAAAAAATTTTTTAAAGTAGCTTAATTAAAAATCAGGCAGGGCACGAGATTGAACTTGTGTGCATAAAGCCGTGCACACCAAAACATGTCTGACTTCCTAGTGTCAGTTATATGTGGACATACAACATGATGTAAAACTATTGCAAGGCAGATTAAATTTATTATGACTCTTATAATAAAATATATAAAGAGGCTACATTTGGCTCCTCCCTGCCACAGGAGGTCACCTCAGTGGGTTGCATGTTTGATTTAGCAGAGTTTTACACTGAATACCCTTACTGACGCAACCCCCAAAGAGGATTTGTAATTGTACTATTTTAATTGCATAAAAGAGAAAATTAGAGTAAAAAATAAATCGCTTTCACTCTTTACTTTGACTATTGAAAGGCCATAACATCGTCATTCACTGGCATTCCTGCAACACTACACCACTTTCCCCCCCACACTCCCACCACAACCACCCACCCGTTCTGCAGGTGTGCTTCTGTTCTCACAGCTGGATCTGTGTCCTTTAGATGACCATATTAAGAATATCCCATCTCACTGACATCAAGCAGAAACAAAAGCAAAATAAAGGTCCTGTGCAATTTAGAATGGAAACAAAAGCCATCTTCTTTCTGTTCTATTCAAATATGATGTGAAATGTGTAAGATAGTTTATTAGAATGTCAACTGACCGCAGATGAAAGTAAACGCCTGCTGCTGGAAAAAGGTCTTTTCAGTAGATGTTGTCGTCTCAGTCGCTGCTGAGCTGACTCACAACATCCACAGTGGCATTTTCAGCTTTCAGCATTTACTGGTATTCAGTTAGTTCAGCAGTAGAATAACCTTAGTTTCCTTTTATCTCTTTGATTGGCAAGCTGAGAAAAGAACAAGCGCTGCAGCAAGGGCTTCTGAGCCTTCATCTGTCAAACTAGCAGCAGAACTTGTGTAATCTCCAAACGAACACATGTCCATTTCTCTGCATCAGTCTGTAGAAATTAGACGCCAGTCATGATAATAGAAATCTAGACTGTGTCCTATGCCCTGCAAGGTTTTCTCCCTAGAGATATCGGTATTTCTCTCAAACTGTAGCACAGTTTGAAGGGAGGTTTTGCATATATTAAGATTTCTGTATTCTCCAAAAATCTGCTCAGCTCTGTGGCCGTCATTTAGCACTCATGTCTCTCCCAGTATCCAACATTCTGCATTTGTTTGGTCGTTGGCAGTTGTTTTATGCTTGTGTTTGTCAGGTTTTTGAGTCGAACATTTAGCCGGGCAAATGAATGAAGTGTATATGTTTAACGTGAACCCTTTCTCTCACACTCTCTAGGTTTTCAAACTGAAGGCAGTCCAGCTAGCTGAGAAGCTGCTTCCTGCCTTCAACACCCCCACTGGTATCCCCTGGGCCATGGTCAACCTTAAGAGGTTAGTGACACTACCACTAAAAACCATCCCATCATCTGTTAGGTTCTCTTAAACGCTGAAATGAGTATGAAATAAATTCCACACGGTCAGAAATGCCAGTTTTCTTTTGAGACTACACAAGATTTAACAGATTTCACCAGAATACTAATGAAGAGTTTACAGATATAAGTTTGCTTTACTGAACTACAGTTGTGGTTGGAAGTTTACATCCACTCATCACGAGCACGAATGTCATGGTCACGTGTTTTATTGATTACTTTGAAGTGTTCTTTTTCTAGGGCAGCATACATCTCTAATGAATTTAAAAAACAAGAATAAAGCACATACATTTGAATTCGTTTTGGATCATCTCTAATTGACACATGTAACCTCACTAATATCTGGTTAAAAACCACTCTGGAAGTTGAATCTTGACCAGATAGCCATCAACAAGTTTGTGGCATAATTCTGTCTGGATATTTGACACTCTTCTTGGCAGAATGGGTGGAGTTAAATGGTTGGTGTCTTGGCACTGACCCGTCATTTAAGCGTAGTCCAAACATTTTCAATATGGTTGAGTTTGGGGCTTTAGAAACACCACTCCAGAAGCTTGATGGAGTAATTTGTTAACAACTACAGACACTGAGCATCAGTTCAAACAACTAAATACGTGTTACTTAGATGTGTCACCACTTTGTCTGAAAGAAGAGCTAGACTTTCACCCTCAGATCAGAGGAAATTAGTTAAGATGTTCAAGGAACAACCTAGAAGCTATGAAGACTCAAGCCTGTCATGACCTGGAATACCAACGTCAAAGTTCAGAGGGAAGCCAGTTTATCACCTTCAGCTGAGAGGGTGTTCTGATAGGACAATAATCCCAAGCAAGCATTAGCACGCACTGGTTCTGGAATGGATAAAGCAGGCTAATAATAAACTTCTCGCCTTCCCTATTGAGCACCCGATTGAACACTTAAAATCCAGGGAAACCATTTAATTTAATCTTATGTTTTATTGATATATTTTTCCCTTTGTAAGGTGACCTTGGGCTTTAGAAAGGTGCCCTCAAATAAAATGTATTATTATAATTATTATTATTATTATTAATTTAAACCTTGATAAATTGATAAATAACTCTCAATTACATTACATTTTTGATTCCTGAAAGTAGCCACCCTTTGCTTTGACAGCGCTGCAAACCCTTGGCCTTCTCTCAGTGAGCTTCATGATGTAGCCACCTGAAATGGTTTATACATAATGGTTATACACTAGACTTTTTAGTCTCCCTGTCTCTCGGTTTAGGTCAGCTTTGCTGTGATTTACAGTTCCTTGCAGACAGAAGGTTTGACCAGCAGGTAGACGGTGCTCACAGCCAGAGCTGTGTGTCTATGTTAACTGTATTAGCAATATCCCCTGTGAGCGATATCATACAGATGTAAGAGTAGAAAAAATACTGTCTGACACTGAGTATTTAGTGCAGTGTTTTATCAGAAACAGAATCAGAAAGGGTTTTATTGCCAAATGTTGAGCAGGTTTACAACATTAGGAAATTGCTACGGTGCTTCAGTGCAAATATACTGTCATAAATTACGCTAAAATAGACATGAAAATAAAAATAAGAATAAGAATTAAAAGTGCTAAGTAGATAGATACCGTATTTCCCGGACTACAGAGCGCACCTGAATATTAGCCGCACAAGCTAAAATCAGGGGAAAATCCTGTTTTGTACATACATTAGCCGCACCTGACTAAAAGCCACAGGTGTTTCAATGTTGACTTTTCATATGTAAGAGAATATGCACAAAGGGAATTGTCAGGAGAGAGATGGCTGTTTGGAGACACACCCCTTTTATTAATATTTT